TCTGAGCCTCAACTTTCTCAGTTATAAAACGGGAGAGCTGATTGATGGACGCATAACGGAGCCGGGGAGTGACAACTGGCCCAGGGCCTGGCAGAGAAAACACAAGCTCCAGAGTTCCACACCCCAGTGAGGCAGGATATTGTTAGCACCTCTAACCAAGGGGAGAGAGGGGAGTCTGGGGTGCGGGGGTGATCTTCCTAGTAAGCTTCCCACCCCCCACCTGTGGACAGCTCTCCCGTTAGAACTGGGAATGACAGGAGGAAAAACTGCCAGAAAGAAGAGATAATGTGCTTATTCAGTCCACAAATGTTTTCGACCCCTTCCATGTGCCAGGCACCAATGCCACCCGCACAGAACTGCAAGCCACAGCCCTGAAGCCAGGCTTTTGTACCCAGCGACCAGCACAGTGACGGGGGTGGCACAGGGACACCCGGCTAGCCTGCCGGAGGCGTTCGTTTTGAGGGAGAGGCCTGCATCTGATCAGGGGCTGGAAAGCTGGGGGAACAGGCCACCGGAGCCCCCAGTTCAAGCACCTCTACCCACAGCCCAGGCGTTCCGCACCCCGGCCTGTTGCCTCAGTGAAGCAGCTCTCCGCCCCTGGGCCCGCCCCATCTTCATGCCCTGCTGCCTGGAGTCTGAGGCAAACCTTGTTCTCCGGCAGGAGGGGAATTTAATGCCGCTGAGGGATGGCAGGTCGACAGGCGAAGAGAGATGAAAGTGTCCCCGCTGGCAGCTGGGTCGGTGGCCTCCGGGGGGACCCTTCACAGCCCTTCCAACCTCCCCAGACATTTTCTACTCAGTGTGCCAGAAAGCACCTTCAAGGGGCCTCCAGGGGCTCTGGGGTCCTCCTGGGCCAGGACTCCCTCCCTGCAGTGCTGTGTGACCCTGTGGTCAGCAGGGCCTCTCTGCGGCTGTTTCCAGCTTGCAGGGTCCGTGGGCTCAGGTCTACACTATTAACATGGTGGGCTGCCTTTGCCTCCCCAGCCCTGGCTGACGGCAGTGCCTGTCGGCCAGGGCCGTGGGTGGGCAGTGGGGGCCGAAGGGGGGCTGTGCAGTGACCTCCGTCTCTCTCTGGCACCTGGGAGGGGTGGGAGCTGCGACCAGGTGAGCCCATGCAACAGAGCCACAGGCCATCGCCACCTTCTTTGTGACAGCACGGAATTAGGCTGAGCCGGCATCCCAAGCCAGAATCTGCATCTCTGTTGGAGACACTGTAGATCTCTCAGCACTGTGAGGGGACCTTGTTGCTCACAAAGCACCCTGTCAAGTGACCCACCCCACACCCCCTAGAACACAGAGGCAAGGGGATTTGGACAAGGTCACCTTGTGTGGACTCAAGCACACGCACATGCACATATGTACACACACACACACACACACACACACACACACACTAGCTTTGACACTTCACAACCAGGAAGGGAGGAAGGACCTTGTGTCTAGACTCTCAGCTCATCTCCATTCTGTGGGTGCAGATGGCCTTCCCCAGGCAGCCTGGTGCAGGGGGCTGATAGCCAGGAGCCTAAATTCTAATCTGGGCCTTATGATGATATTCTCCTGTGACTGGGGTATCCTGGTATGTTGCAATTCAGTCTCTCCTCTGTAAAATGGGTAATAAGCCCTATCTTCATGATTTCTTGTAGCCAAAGATGCAATTTTTCTACTATCAAATTGAAACCATTCTAGACTGAAGACCAAGATGCCAACAAGTCTTGGGTCAAGGGGAAGTGTCCACACAAGCTCACGGCCTACGGTCACCCAGTACCGCCAGTTATCCTGCTTCCTTCTTCCTGTGCAATAGGATCACAGCCAGCTCCTAGGAGAGGATCCAAGTCCTGTCTGGAGTTCTGAGTCAGACTCAGGGAATGTAACAGAGCCCCAGTCTGGGTGGGGTGATAAGGGTAGCAAGAGATGTCAGACCAAGTCTCCACTGCCATGGTGGTGGTGGAAGAGGGGGCCTGCCAGGCACTGCTGGGAAGGTTGGGGTGGGGAGGCCTTTGGCGGCCACAGAGAACAAAGAGTCTGGGTTGCCAGGATATTCTGTGGCACTGAAGCTGGTGGTGATGGGGCTGGGAGAGGGGTGGCAGTGGTTTTGGGAACTCCACCCACTGCCCCCATGCCAGATCCCTCACTCAGCTGGGCCTCAGGGTCAGGCTGGAGGAAGGGGGGTTGCCAGGGTCCCCACTCTGTCACTAGAGTTGCCTGACTGTCAGGGTAGAGACCCAGGAAATGCTGCAGGCAGACACATTCTGCACATGGTGTCAGTGTGAGGACCACAGGAGCACAGTGACAGGCAGTGTGACCACACACCCAGCACAGGCAGCATCACAGGGTCAGAGTGTGGTCACAAGCCAGTGTCACACAATCACATAGGGCCACACTGATCAGGGCCACACAATGGCACAAACCACATAGAATCTCCTGGCGTCGGTCACAGGGTCGTAGCTGTCACACAATATCAGTGTTGCGTATCAAGTGTCACACATTCAGTTGTACAAGCTGGCATCACACTGGGTCTGTTACAGGATTGTACAATGTCACAGGATCACGCATGCCATGTCACCAAATACCCAAGTCTTGCCATTGACTTCATACACTAACCCATGGTGACACGAGTCTCATGAGTCTTGTGCACAGCCACAGGCCTATTCTCATGTCACACTCACTGTCACACATAGCCACATTGCTGCACAAGGCCTCACACAATTGTCAGGGACTTGAAGTATCCTACTCACACCCAAACACACACGCTCATGTGTAGGGAGGCTCGCTTTGTCTCTACCCACAGAGGGCGGGTGCGGGATGCCTGACGTGAAGGCTTCCAGGTCTCTAAGAGGGTCAGGTTCCCACAGAGCGGAGCTGAGGGTATACCCGGAGGAAGAGAACTGGGCATGACCCCATGGGGGAGCCCACCTCTCAGTGCTTCTCTGTCAGCTGGGAGAGCAGCAGGAGAGCCTGCAGGAGAAAGATTGAGGTGCAAGAGGTAGGGTGACCCAGAGACAGGCATGAGACTTGCAGACGCAGAGACACAGAAAACAGACACGTCTGTCTGTGAGATGCAGGACGTGAGCTGGACAGAAACAGGCAGAAACTCGCTGGAGCGGACAGGACGTGGGGGCCTGCTACAGAGTAGAGGTCACTCTGCGGAGGTGGGAAGTGGGTGGCTCACGCTCCAGGAAGGACGTACACGTTGGGCAGAAGATGAGGGACATCTTGATGAAAATGAGGTAAAAAATAGTTCTAAAATGGCAACACCAGCTGCATTGACTGAGCACTTACCGTGAGCCGGCCCTTCCCCGAGTGATCTCAGGCAACGTTGTTGAGGAGACTATTACTGTCTCCCTTTCCCACATGAAGTGACTGAGGTCTCATCAAGGGTCCAGCCTCACAGCCACTCCCACCCCAACCCCCCCAACCCCCGCCCCGGGGCCGCCTCCAGCGGGCCTGGCTGACCATTCCCAGAGTCCAAGCTGGAAAGGTGAAGGGTCTCAAGCTTTGGCGTCCTGTGTAGGGGCAGGCTCAGGATCCACGCCGGGCTGTGGGGTTGGCACACTGGAAGGTACAGGCCGGCTGAGTCACGGCACCCCCCCACCCCTGGCTGGCACCAGAGCCGTCCACCCCGTACCTGTAGGCATGCCAATGGGGGCTGACCGAGGCCATCTGCGGCCCACATGCTGCCAGCAGCAAGGCAGGGACAGGCAAGGCCTCCTGCCTGGGTGCCCCCTGCTGGCCAGGCTGCCCACCCCCACTCCACCAAGGACCCTCCCCACCTCTCCAGGTTATGGGGGTGCTGCAGTTAGCCTTGTGCAAGGGGTGAGGGTGCCCCTGGCTGCAACACCTCCTCTTACTCCCTGCTGGACACCCCCCTTTGGCAGAGCTGCCTGGAGAGATCACAGGCAGCCACATGAAAGGGAATTTTTCCCAGGCAGCGATGGAGTTGAAAGCTGCCTCCCACCGCCCCCGCCCGCCCCCGCTGTGCCAGGCCGGGCTGCTGAGCTCCTGGTGCTAGAAAGGGAGCTTGTGACACCCGGGAGAGGGGTTGGGGTCAGAGCCCCCACCCAACATGGCCGCTTTCTCTCTACTTGGGAACAATGGCAGAGACAGGCCATCTCCCCCACCTTGCCACCCACTCAGCTTCAGAAGCAGCTCCCTTCCCTTGTCCTGAAAGCCCTCATCCACCTGGTCAGGCTCCAACACCGTCACAAAGTCCTTCCTCAAACTGGCCTCCATCTTGACCAGGCTCAAGGCAGCTGGGTGAGAACGCTGCCCTGAGGCAGGTGACGGGCCCATCCAGGCCGGCCTCTGACTTGCAGGGGGTGTGCAGCTGCCTGCCACCTCTGCCTGTACGGGTTGCCTTGGCCAAGACCATGTGGCCAGGTGATTGCCCCAAGCTTCTGGTGTCTGAGGTCCCATACCACCTGTACCAAACTTACTTTCTGGGGGTGGGGGAGTCACTCAGAAGGACATCCCCAAGCCCTGGGTCTGGCACCCTTCATGCCTGAAGAAGGGTGTGGGGGGAGGGGGGGTGTTTCTGTGTGTGTATGCTGGGCACAGTCTGATCTCCATGGACCTGAGTTTAAACTGCTGCCTGAGGAATCACCTCAGTGGTTGGGGGAAACACTAGTTCCCTGTCATGCAGGAAGAACCAGACCAAGCAGCTCAGGCCCACCCCCACTATGGAGGGCCTGGTCAGGCCTTGAAGACTTTAGGTGATGAGGAGGCCCTAGGTCAAGTTGGTCCCCAGAGGCCCAGGTATGAGGTGGGGGCAGAGTCAGGCAGGTGAGCTGCTCCAGTACCGGCTACTTGCAGATTGTTTCCACCCTGTCGGCCAGACTGGGTGCTTCTTGCTGCTCTGGCCCCCTTCTGAATCCGAAGACCTCACTTCCCAAAAAATCCCCACTCTGAATACAAAGCTTCTTCCCACACACAGTGGTCCCACGTAACCCCTGCCCAGCAACAGCCCCCAAACCCACAGAGCGAGAAGCCAGCAGTGCTTCGTGACACAAACATGCATTCGTTTTATTCACAAAACAGCCTGGTTTCCTAAAACAATACAAACAGCATGTTCATCAGCAGGAAGCTGGCCATAGGCAGGGGAGCCCAGGCCACAGGGGGGCCCCCGGGCACCCACCCCCGCTGGCAGGGGGCCACGCCAAGAAGCCCTTTCTTCTGTTGCCATCGGCAAGACCAGAAAGAAGGGACTCATTTTCTCTAAGGGAAGCAGCCAGAATAGGGAATATCAAGACACGGCTTCCCCAGATCTCAATGGATAAACGGACAGACCTTCCATTTTGGTAAAATCATCACTGGTGGGGTGGGGGGTCCCATTCCGGGGATGGTGGGTGCAGCATGACTGGCCTGGGCCCGGGCTGGTGGCTGCTCCCGCCCCTCTCCGAGCCCCTCCTTCGGCTCGGCACACACGTGGGTGGATACAGAGGGGCTTCCACACGGCGCCATCAACATTCTCTTTACAAACGTGAGTGGATTCTCCAGGCAAACTATGCACTATTTCATGGTCGGAAAGAATCAAAGGAAGTTTAAATGAGGGTGGAGTTAAACTGTGCTAAATTACAGTAGTGCTTATTAGTAACTAGATTTCAAAAGGTTACAGAAAATTTACATTCTCTACACAAAAACTGCATCTCCTGCACAGACAACATCGACATCGACACAGGAAGGAAACTGATTGTCCATTCTTTGCCCAGGAAGTCTCGGTACTTTATAGATTCGTCTTTACCTCTTATATGTTGTTGTTCTTCCGAAAAAGCAGTTAAATTTTTTTTTTCCTTTTCCTTTTTATACTAGGGACGTGGAGATGTTAAAACGACAACAAAAAATATATATATAAAAACAGGAATGAAATCTGTGAGAGAATATTTTTGGTTCTAAAGACGGGTGCATCCGTTTGTCTTCGCCCGAATCCCTTGCCGGAGACCACGCGAGCAGTGACATTGCACGGAGAGGGCAGCTTTGGGTTCCCGCCGCCGTCACTGAAACCACCGGAAGGCGGCTCCCGTCGGAAGCATCACCTTCTGGCGGGGGCGGGAGACAAAAACAAGGAGAGAGTTCAGTCAGGGTCCGGCCGGGCCTGGTGCAAAGACGTCCCCTGCGGATGGCCTCATGGCGGAGGGATGGGCATTGGAGGAAAAGCAGCCACCCCATGGAGTTCCTGCCATCCTGGCCAGGCCAGAGAAGGAGCCTTGGCCTGCTGGGCCGCTGGCAAGCCCGGAGCACCCTGAGGTCTCCTGAGTCACTGCGCTCAGGACCCTCCTTCCGGACAGGAAGACCCCATATCCCCCTGATCCAAAGGCCACAGGCGCCGGGCAGCTATGGTGCATCTGGGAGCTGTGCGCTGCTCTTCCAAATGAGCGTGCTAAGCGTGTGCACGGGGCTGCATGCGGATGTGTGTCCCCGGCTCTGCTACCGTGTGTCGTGTGTCGGAGCCCTGGCAGGCAGGAGGGCTACCTGCCGTGTGCACCCGGACGCTGCGTCTGCGCCTGCAGGCACGCAACAGCAGGGGGGCGGTAAGCGGGTGCGCACCTACAGGAGGTGTAGCCTCCAGGCAGGAGAGCAGATGAGTGGGGTTTGGGGCTGGGGCGGGGGTAGCCACAGCTGAGATGCCATTATTGTTTTCCAACCGTTCAGGACATTTGAATCCAGCCCACTCGTAGAGGGGTGGAGACAGGGCAGGGCGAGCAGGCTCAAAAGATGCTTTTGTGCCAAGGCCGAGCACCGAAGCTAGGCTAAAGCGGTTGGGAGCACAGGGACAGGCCCTGTCATGAGCGGGAAGAGAAATCAGCATGGGAACCCCTCTGCCTTCCTCAAGCTAGGCCCATGGTGGACAGGACTTAGCCCCACCCCAGGCTCAAGCCACCCCTTTAGCCCCAGGCCCATAGGACCCCCTGATCAGTAGCTGCAGACAGACTGATTTTGGGGCTCCGAGGCACCTCAAATCTATTATCTGGGTGCTGAGTCTATCCTTGGGTGGCCTCAGCTCTGCAGGAGCAAGAGCAGGGCTGAACCTACAAATCACAAGATCCAAGGGACACCCCAGATGGGGCAGGGGAGTCCCAGAATCTTCAGTCATGGACTGGAAGCTCAAGGACACGTGTAAAAGTGGGAAACTTCACATCTCTACAGGTGTCTTGATGCCTTAGCCTACAGGTGTCTTGATGCCTAGCCCAGAAGCAGGTTCTGAATCCTGGGGCCTGACATTCCCAGCCAGGCCCCTGCCTGCAGTCTTAGGCTCGATTTGCAAACTACGACCTAATGGGATCTCAGGATGTGACTCTGACTTTAGGGGCAGTGAACTGGTGTCTGGGAGCTGGGTCTAGAACCCCCGAGCCCAGGGGTGGCCGGGAATCCCCCAGACTCTTGGCCAGGTAGGAACAGGTGAGGGCGGGGGTGGGTTTGGACTGCCAGACAGACGCAAGAGCCCACACACCTCCCTCTAAGGCGCCGTTACCTCCAGAGCAGCGGAAGGCTTCTTTTTGAGTTCCTCACATTTTCTGAATTTGCAAATCTGATGACCAGTCTTTCGGTTCCTACAACTGCTGCACTGCTCACAGTTGATGCGCCTCCGGCAGGGCGCACACATGCCACAGCGTTTCCGCTTCTTCTTGCCCGAGCTGATGGCGGAGGCCAGCTCTCCCTGCATGGGGTACTCGGCCAGGCCGGCCATGTGCAGCGCGCTCTCGGCCAGGAACACTCCCGCCGGGGTCATGATGAAGAGGCCCGGGTTGATGGGGAAGGCGCCCAGGTAGGGGAAGTCGGACTGGCCGTTGAGGGCCTCGGCGCCCGCCACGGCCTCCATGTCGGGCAGGCCGGCGCCCGCCTCGCTCATGAGCGGCAGGTGCTCCTGCACCACGCGCTTCAGCATCTCCGTGGACTGCGCAAACTGCTGCAGCGTGAGCTGTCCCTCGGCGGCCAGCTCCGTGGCCCTCTCTGCCTTGCTCAGCAGGCTGGCCACAGCACCGCTTTTGTGCTTTGAGGTAGGGTTGCTCTTGTCCACTGCCATGGCTGCCGCCAGGTCGTGCCCGTTGGCCAACAGGGAGGCGGCCGCTGCGGCCGCAGCAGCCTTTTCGGCAGATTCCCCGCTCATCATGCTGCCCCCGCTGCTCCCGAAGGACGAGTAGTGGGAGAGAGGCCGGGAGCGGCGCAGGCTCTTGTTGAGGGGTTCGCTGATGATGCCGCTCTTGTTCCGACGCTCGGGGGGTGGCGCGTCGTCCGCCGCCGAGGCTGGTGCCGCCGTGGGCACGGCCGCGCTCTTGTCTGCCACTCCCACCTTTGGGCCGCCGCCACCGCTGCCATTGGTGTTGCTACTGCTACTGCCGCCGGTGTCCTGGGGGCCACTGCCGAGGCTCGACATGGTGGGGCCGAGGCCCAGAGCCCGCTTCTGGGGGAGCCTGCCAACCGTGGGGGGTCCTCAGACGAGCACTGGGCCCCACTGCCTGCAACAGACGGCTGGTGGGCCCGACTGCTCAGGGCAGGCACATGGTCGGGGGTCCACGTGGAAGTGTCTTCACTCTGTCAGAACAAGGGCACACGGGGTCAGAGCCACATTCGAGGTCTCGGCCGCCGCCACCCCACCCCCCACCCCGCACCCCGCAGTACACCTGCAGCCATCACCAGGACGACCAGGTGCTTATTCAGTCAGGCCCACCTGGTGTGGTGTCTGATGTTTTGTACCATCTTAGTGAAGACATGAAACAGGGGCCAGTCAAGCCCTAGTGTAAGATGAGGATGACAAGGTGCAGGAGTTGACCGGCCCATGGGGCCGCTTCCACCCCGGGGCCTGGAGGAGGCTCACCCGGATTCCTCGGCCAAGATTTGTCCTGTCGGGGTCTGGGGACACCTGACGGAGGCAGGCGGGCCTTCCTGGGGGTGTGAGCGCCAGCCTAGAGAGCTGGGCTGTGACACGAAGGGCCCACGGCTGGTGCCGTCCAGGACTGAGCGAAGAGGTGGGCCCTCCTGAGAATGGAGCCTTTTCCCTGTCTGAGGCGCCCTTTCCTAAGACAGAGCGTGCTCTGCTCAAGCCCCAAGACAAAGACACAAGAGCAGCCAGGCTCCTTGGCCAGGAGCTCTGCAAGGAACGAGTCCAGATGGAGTGGAGTGGCAGTTTCCTCATCAGCCCTGGCTCTCAAGCGTCGCTTCTCTGTCTGCCTGCCGTGGCCCAGCAACCCCCAAGAGAGGGCCCAGCCCGAGCAGCTGGCGCGCAAGGCGGAGGCGCACATCTGGCCGGGCCTGTCCCGCCCTGGGCCTGGGGGCGGCACACACAGCATCTCTGTCCCCAGGCAACCCCACCACCCCCCAGCCACAGCACTCGGTCCCAGAGATCATCAAGCCCAACTGCGCGTTCACAGAAGGTGACATCGAGGGGTCCGTGTCCCAGGACTACTGTGGGGAGGTGATGAGGCGTGAGTGCAGGAAAGGGAAACTCTGTCTTCGGGGTGGGGTGAGTGGCAGACACCCCTAGCATCGGCATCATCGGTGGGCACTGGCCCCACCTAGGCTCGTTTCACTGGCAAGAAGTGACAGGCGAGCCAGCGGATGCCACTAGGTATTTGGGATGGTAGGTCAGAGGAAGAGGGAAGGGGGTCATGTACGCCCAGGACAGCTGTGCTGCACGTATCACCTCCTAAGGGCCAGGCTGGCCTTCGTTCCGGAGACAGACACGCCTCCAGGCATCAGTGACCCTGGCTAAGAGTTGGGGATGAGCGTAAGAGAGATCGGGGGTAGAGACCAACACCCTAAGTCAACTCACCCAAGTCCCTCACCAGCCAAGCTTAGCTACTCTGCCTGGGCCCACAGCCCCAGACTGGGGGTGAGGGGAGACAGAAGGCAGGCGCCCGAGGGCTGGTGAGTCGGGGAGGGCAGCAGTCCGCGCCCTAGCCCCCTCGTGCGTCCTCCGCCTCTGCGGCCTGCTGGCTGGTGGCAGAAATCGATAGCTGCATTAACGCAGCTCTTGCTCCACTCCCTCCTCCCTCCTCCCAGCTCCAGGATCCAGCTCTGTGTGCGGGGCGGGCAGGTCAATTAGAAGTCAGCTCCCTCCAGCGCAGCGAGGGCCAGCACTCTGGCTGGGCTCTGTGCTTTTGTCTCCATTCCGGGTCTCCGGCGGTGGGGACCAAGCCTCCTCCGTGTGCTGCTCCCTGAATCTCTCTGAGCTCCCAGTTCTGTCCTTCCACTGCGACTCCCCTCCCCCAGCCCCCCAGGTCCTGGGACATGCTGAGCTTGGGACCACAGGACGTGATATGTCACCGAACAGGTGCTGCAGGCACAGCGCTGTGGTTTGTCAGCCACAGCAACTAAAAGGTGGGGAGAACTGGTGTCTCTGTGCGCAAATCTCAAAGTGGGCAGATACCAACATCCAGTCCCCAAGCTTATTCCAAGTCTATCCCTGCACCTGGCTCATCCTCTCCTCCAGTCCCCGGGAAAAGCTGATGCCCGAGTCCCGCTGGGCCCCTGACCACGGGCCTGTTTGCTTTACTGATGGACGTAAGGACGGAGAGACGATCTTGTCCCAGGCCCAGCCTTCTACTAAAGGGCACACAGCAGCCCCTTCTCAGGCCAAGAAGGGCCTGGCAGTGCCCAGGCAGCAGGGGAGGAGCTGGGCTGCGTTGAAGCGGAGCGGGAATGAGCGGGAGGGAAAGCTGGCGGGCAGGCGGGCGGCGGCGGGCGCATCCATCATCGGCCCTGCCAGGAACGCATCCAGCCCCCAAAAAGAAATACTGCGCCTGAGGAGGGACAACAAAGGGCTCCGTTTCATCAGCAATGCGGAGCCAGCGCCCCGCCGCCCCGCCAGCCGCGGTCAGCCCACAAAGGACCCCTTTGTCCATGCAGGAGCCAGGCCGGCCAGGGAGCTGGGACCAGGGGCTGACGGGCGGGGACAGAGCCCAGAGGGTGGAGGATGGGGGGGGGGCTAGTCTTGGAGGGCTGGGGGGGTGTCACAGAGAACAGGGAAGCAGAACAGAGACAGGTGGTGGAGACAGGGGATCATGAGACAGCATTAAGGGGTAGGTCTGAGAAAAGGCCATTTGGAAAGGAAAGGGCAGAGGGTCAAGGTTAGAGGGGAGCAGAGACATGGCCATCGGCGTGAGAGAGACCTGGGCACTGAGCCCAGGTTAGAGACTTGAGGGTATGAGAGACATGGAAACAGAGCCCAGAGGAGGGCCCTAGACTCAGGGCCTGGGAGCAAGAGAAGGCTCCCCCAAAGGGAGGGGGGGGAGGCGGGACTGAGGTGTGGGAACAGATGTGACCCATCTTGTCCAGAGCCCCAGCACACATTGAGAGGACAGGAGAGCTGGGAGGGGGGTGATATGGGTTCATGACCTCAGGGACTAGTCCTGGGTGGGCTCAGGTTAGCCAAAGTTGGGGCCACTCTGCTGACAGTGAGGCAGCTCCTTCCTTGTCTCTAACCCCAGGTCCTGGCCAGCACTATAGGGCACAGGCCCCACCCTTCTCTAACCAATTCCCATCACCAGGTGAACTCACCAGGTGAACTCAGGCTACTTACCAACTAACTAACCCCACCAGTTATCACTGATTGTATACCTACAGTGTCCCAGGTACTGTATTCCTATGATTTCTAGATCTTCTCCCCTCTGTGACTGCTCCCTAGAAGCCAAGAGACTGGAACTGTGAACCAATTTCAGAGATAAGGAAACTGAAGCTTGCACAGGTTCAAGCTGTCAGGCCCAGGTCTAACAGCTGGTGTCCAGCAGGAGTAGAACTTGAACTCAGGACCCAAGTTTGGTCACCCTTCTCAGTGACATCTTTGTTCTACCTGGCAACTGACAGAGTAGCCCAGGGCAAGGTGATCCAGCCACACCTGAAGCTGCCCCCACACCCCAGGGTTGTTACCGTGCCGGTCACCTTTCCGTGGTTGGGGGGGCAAGCTGTCACAGACCCCAGGGGAGTGCCCCCACCTGGGGGGCTTGGAGATAGCCCAGGCGGGAAACAAGAATGCCAGTGCAGTGATGTCATAATGCCAGCTGGTAGTGAGGTCACGGGAGGTGGTGGTGGCACCCTCCCTTCACCCTCAGCCCCAAGGGCCCAGGATTCACACCCAGCAGGGCTCGGTTCTGAGTTCTTCAGGCAGGCAGCACCGCTGGGGGGCGCAGGGACGGGAGGGTGCAGGCGACAGGCACGCACAGGTGGCCCACTGGGAGACACCCCAGATGTTCCGATGCACACATCTCCCCATGCTTACCCGTGCCCTATGGTACTGGGGAGACAACGTGGGGTACAGAACATGCTACCCCAGGAGAATGTGGGAGCTCGGCTGAAACAATGTGAACTGGCAGAGGGAAGGGAACGCAGAGAGGCCTTCCCAGGGGACCAGCCTGCGAGTTAAGGATTAGGGGTTACCAAAGGGGACACAAGTCTGAAGGGGTTCCTAGGAAATGGGAAGTGGGTGCTAAGTGTGGCCATGAGGTTGACAGGATCCCAGCTGGGCTGGGCCTTGAGGTCCCGGATTTTATTTTTAAATCACTTTACTAAGGTAGTTTACATACTATAAAAAAGTCCACCCATTTGCGTGCATACAAATCAATGATTTTTAGTAAGCTTAGAGCCGTGTGATCATCACTACGGCAAGGGTAGAGTCTGAGAAAGGTGCCATCCCTTCCCCACAGCACCTGGCTGCCGCAGGAAGGCTTCCTGGAGGAGGCTGTATCTCCACGGGCCCTCAGGCGCCGGGCACGAGCCCTGAGATCCTGCCATGCCCTGGACAGGACAGCTCTGCGGACTTGCACAAGCCAGCGTGACACCTTCCTGCCCTTCCGCCCAACACCCCCTCATCCCCTCTACCCACTATGGTGGGCTGGGGCCTGGCCTCCAGGGGAGCTAAGATGGACAGACTGACTGACCTGAAGAGAACAGATTACAGGTTACTGAAGTGAGCTGAGCCATGAGGTGTGGGTGTGTGTTGGGGGGAGGCGGGGGGGGGGTTTCATCTCTAATTTCCATGATTCAACTTGGGACTTTCCAGAGGGGAAAAAACCCCACTCAGGCCCAAGGAAACACACAGGGGACACTGGACTCAGAGCAAGGCAGGGAGAAATGCAGTCTGGCCAGAGGGGCAGGGTGCAGAGCCAGCAACAGACGGACTCAGACAGGACACCTGGGTCACTGTTACATCCAGGGAGCCTGGGGACATGCCCGCGACACCACTAGGGTCTTTCCAAGATGAACAGCCGAGATGACTGCTCAGTACAGAATGGGGAGTGTGATCATACTTCCCTGATCCACACCCTCAACCCTCTCCCATTTCTCCCAGAGCACACACAACCCCTCTGCCCAAGGGCCAAAATGTGCAGCTGAGAAAACCTGAGGGGCTATTCTTTCTTGTGCAGCCCCCCAAAACAACAAGAGGAAGAGATCACCCCATTTCGTGGACAGGAATGTTGAGGTGCCAGGCTGGAAGTATATCTTTACCTAAGCACACCTAGGGAGTAAGATGGAGAGACTGGGACAACTCTGATAAAGACAAGGCCTTCCTCAGCACACACCTCTCAAGTCAGGTTCCT